AGCCTTGAATTATTCACCCAGACTCAGGAAGGGGTAATAATGCTTAGAGTAGCACGGATGGAGTGGCAGGGGTAAAGTGAAATACTTGAACTAGGGAGATAGTAGACGGATCATATGGGGCAAGAGGGAGACTCCGATAAGACCTAGGGAAGGAGGACGGTGTAACAATATGGAAGACTCTGATCAACAGTCCTAGCACAAGGGTGAAGGAGGGTGATAACTCCAGTGTGGAGTGTGGAGGGTTCTCATAAAAGTCGCTCAAAAGAGCACACCACACTGGATTTAATTAAGCAAGGAAAAATTGTGATAGTGAAGGCGTGATACGAGGATATAGGAGAGGTGAATAGCCAAGTACAGGAGAGATATCACAACTGTTTATCACACATTTGGTCAAAGGATCGATTTCATTTGTCTCTTTGACTAGTTGTACTATGATGCTAAGATTGGCAAGACTCACTGACGATGCCGGCGAAGCGTCTTAGAATGTACCACGTCCGCGGTCCGATTCTGGTAATTATCATGCATACAATGGATTCCGGACTAAGGGCGTTCCTCTAAGTCTTCCTACCAATATTACCAAGTTGCGAAAACTAGGTCAAACAACTTATGTACAACAAAAAAGACTGCGACCACACAAAAGGCCACACCATATTGATCTTCATAATTTATAGTAATTTATATTGTTTGATTTCACATTATGGTTCCCACACGAATCCAACAATCTGCAGCAGAGGCAAGAATCTGGGTTATTTAAAAATAAGTTATTGTATTCCACTTTGTAGCAACTTATAAGGTTAAATATCTTATATGAATCCGAGTTAAGTCAGTTAACGAAACTATTCAATGAAGCTGTGTGAGAAGCAAGGGTAAAACTTGCAAAATATGAAGACAAGGCTTTACATTAATTCCATAACAGAAGGTAATTGGCTCATCTATAAGGAGGTTTATATTCATATTTATGGGATGGTTAACATTCCAATTGCAATAAGGAGTTTGTTCCTAGCAGACAGAGCACTGGAGTCAGGAGTAGGAAATATAAAGAAAAGTTTTGGCCATGAACAATTATCTACTAGGATACATTGCCAATTATTTTACAATATTACGAAATAGAATGAGGGAAAACAATTTGGGGCAAAACAAGTTAAGTACTCTTCTAGGTTCATGATGTTGCCGTCGTCAGATTTTGAAAAATATAGGCGAAATACTTAGTGTAAAATTATGACTGCACAAAGAAAGACAAACATTTTCCTAGGGAATGCTATGCAATATATGGACAAATCGTAGCTAGGATGAAAATGAGTCAATGAAAATCAAAAAGGTAAACAAACTCCTAAATAGGAGGAACGATAATACGAAATTATGCGAGAATTGCCTGTAGTTATTAAATAAAATTAGGAGAGGGGAGAGGGGACAAGAGGAACAGCCAAGTGAGGGGAGGCTTGAGTAAGCTGCAGTCTGGCTGACTGCTCCAATATTTAGACTAGCAGTACACATACACAATACGCATGCAACCATATACATAAGCACTGCTTAGCATTGCAGCGATAAGAAAGCTAAGATGTGAGGAAAAACCTTTACGACATCTACATCCTCAACATTCATCAACTTCACTTAGCTTCCATAATTTAGGCCAAGCATGAATTAGCCAGCCAAATCATGATGTTTTATTCAGCCGGACATCTTTCCTAATGCAGTCTTGGGCGGATTTGTTAAAATGAAGATTTCTTTCATATGACAAGAAATTTAGCACGGATTCACCGGTGTCGCAGGACGGTGCAACGAATCCATCTCACCTACCTTCAACATGTATTTAAAATTCTTCAAAACCTAGTTTATCTTAATATAAAAGAAAATACCTATCATCCAATGAATTGAAAAAAAATAAAATAGGAATAATATGACAAAATAAAATAATAAATAACTTCAAATAAAGCAAAGCCTACTCATCCAAACATATTTTTCCAGGTTGATACGCCTCTTTCCCGGTCAGACTAGCTTCCGAGTCATATAAAATAGTCTCATCCCTTGAAAAAATCTGTTGAATTTTCTTGGATACGCCATCTTGACGCCGACGCCTAGATTTGTTTCCCATCTCCTTTTTATTTACTGGATTCGACACAACTTCTGTCTTTGTCCCCGCCCCGGATACTTGAAAGGGAAAGGCGCGCCGGAGCCACATGCAAAATGTGTTTACTTCCCGTTGTCCAGTTAAAAAGACAAGAATCCCGCCACTGGTAGCAGATGTGGTGGTGTGTAGTTGGCATACCTAAAAAACATTAGAGAGAATTGTAACCAACGTGATTATGGATAGTGAAGTTGTGGTTACTACGAGGATTAATAAACTTCAATAGAAAGCAAATGAACCGACTCAGCAAAGCTTTGCTGCCGGTAAAGAATAATTAGATGATTTTTTCATCCAAGATAGCAAGAATGCAATCATAGCCCTATCAATAGATTTAGTTCCATAACGAGGTTTCGTACTGCAGGATAAGTTTTCCACACAAGGAACAAAGCTAAAATCAGATTTTTTAGTTTCATCTATCATTCTTCCATTTCTTCCCAGATTTACACACTCTCAAGACTAACTAAGAGGCAAAGGATGATCGTGGAATAAAGGAAAATAATAACTCCATAAAAGTTGTTTGACCTTGTTTTCGCAACTCGGTCATATTTGTAGGAAGACTTAGGGGAACGCACCTAGTCCGGAGTTCATTGTATGCATGATCATTTTCAAAGTCGGACCGTGGACATGGTACTTTCCCAGACGTTTCGCCGGCATCATCAGTGAGTCTCACCATTCGCAGCACCATATTACAACTCGTCAAAGAGACAAGTGAAGCCCATCCTTTGACCAAACGTGTGCTAAACAGTTATGATATCTCCCCTTCTGCTTTGGCCTATTGAAATTTCATATATCCTCCTATCACGCCTTCCCTGTCACAATTTTTACCGTGCTTATTTGTAATGTAGTGTGGTGTGCTCCTTCGAGCGGCATTTATGAAAACCTTTCACACTCAACACTGTACTGAGAATGTTGACCAGAGTCTGTCATATTGTTACGTAGCCCTTCCCTAGGTCCTATCAAAGTCTCCCTCTTTCCCCGTCGAATCCGTCTGCTATCTCCCTGGTACATGTATTTCACTCGACCCTTGCCCCCATCTGTGCTATTCGAGGCGTAATTAGTCCATCTCTTGCACCTGGGCGATTAATTAGAGGCTACAGCCTCAGAGTAAGCCTCATGGTCATGCCTTTGCTATATGGACCAAGTCTCTTGCAAAACCTACGGTCAGCCAACTAGCTCAAATCGCCGCCTTGTCTATCCTGTCTCTATTCCTAACGTTGTGGTTCAACATTGAACCTAAACAAAACCAGCAGTACCACGACATTTGTGGGTTGG